AACCCCCCCCCCCCCAATATAAGGCAGTACTTACTGTGCTGGTTAAGCAGCATTCTAATTGAAATGCGACTCATGAAAAAGCGGTCTAAGAAATACTGCACGTTCTGACTGGTCACTGGATCGACTCCATAATGATCCTTATATTCTATCACTCCCTGAGCCATGGTAGGAATGACATCGTTGTGACGATTTCGGATCGTTATCACAGTATCTGTAAAACTGAAAAGAGGTGTGGATTTATTATTATAGATATCATTATAAATCTAAATATTATATAAATATAATATATTATAAATATAATAAATATTTCTTAAATACCCTAGCCCGTTGCTAGCAGCTGCCATGTGACTTCATTAAACTATCCAATGCAAAATGCTTGGCAACTTGCTATTCAGAAATAGTGGGGTGGTTTTACACACTACAAGGGGAGAAGAGCTTCTTAGGCACGGAGAGAACAGAAGACATGGAGGTGACATATCTAGTAGTAGCAGCAATATCCAGTCTATGCCGTCTGACCTCCTGAGTCACACCAAAACACACTCCTGTCGTGCTGCAGTTCCACCCACTGATCAGGCTCATGCCATTTGGTATATTTTTAGGTTGGCTCCTAGATTTTGTTTGTTTGGATCTTGTGATTATGTCCCGCTGGTGGACCTCCTGATGTCAACTGTGTGACGCAGAGTGTTGGAATGGATGGACAACTGGCCTGCTCCAACATGGCTTCTCTCATGTTCTTATAAAGGATAGGATTCAGAATTTCTCTAGAGCAACTTCTATTTATTCCAGTGGAGTGTGCCTGGTAGTTCTTGGTGAATGGTATCTTTAAAAAAAACTGCAGAGAATACTGGAGATATTTAGAGGATCCCAATAAAAGTGAGGCCCACAAGATTACATACTGAATTAAATTAAACAAAAAACCTGGGGGAGTGTTTTATTCATATATAGAAGTTTTTCCTTCGAACCTGGGTACCAGACTGTATTTCTAGAATGACATAATAAGAACTATTTCAAATCTAACATACACACAGTATTTACTTTTGTTTTTTAAATAATAATAATTGATGCTTGGCAGCAATTTGCTACTTGAATCCAAGGCCCTTCAATATTCTCAAACTACTCATCGAGATACTTGGCAGTAGAAAAGGACAGGTCTCTTCCCCCCAGGGTGGAAAAAGATCTGCCCTGGAAGCACAAAGACTGCACACTGACACATCACCTCCAAAATCAATTAAAGCACAAAAAACATTCTTACCTAGAAATAGCTTCTGAATCTTCGGCACTTTTATCTTTAAAATCGAGGATCTCCTGAAGACTTTGGACGTACCTAAAACACAGTGTTTGCCTTTGTTATACCGATTTGGTTAGAGAAGAGTGTAAGATGCATTATTTCTGTTCTTTATGTGAAAAGCATTAAATGTTAAAGCCCAGTAAGATCTCTTTCTGTTTCAAGGAAAGTATTTCCCCTTTTAAGCCATCAAGTAATTCTTATAATCAGTTGACCCTGGGGAGGGGGGGAGCCAACCCCTATGTGAGGCAGCGTAGCCTAGTAGTTTAAGTGTCAGGTGAGAATCCAAACCCCAGGCTGACGTAACATTTGCTGGGTGACTAGGGCCAGCCATTCTTTCTCAACCTAGCCTACTTCACAGAGTTTTTGTGAGGATAAAGTGGGGTGAGAGTTGAGCTCTTTGGAGGCAAGGTAGGATAAAAATGTAGCACACGGCCAGTTCTGCTGAGCTCTGACGTTGCAGGCAAAAGCTTGAACAGCCACAGTTACCAAAACATCCTTGCCAAGCAAAAGATGTAACATGCACTCGCATATACAGAGAATGCTACACAGACCCATTTCCACCCCAATGCTGGCTTCTCAACAAAAGTACCCATCTATGATCTCTTCAACGCAGAAAGAATCATCCTGTGTGTTTCATGGAAGGCAGTTAGTTTTTGCACAATATGCCATTTCAAGAAAAACGGCATCAATTAAGTCTACTACATTGGAACTGATGCACCCCCTAGTCCAAATTCACACTGTGTACCCTTTCTCAGTGCAGCACAGCATGAGCATGTCCAAAAGCAAGGTCCATTTGGGTAAATGTTCTGGTGATATATGTCGTGGGCCAGTCTGCTTTAACAGAAGAGCACTCAGCTGATGCTGACAACAGCCCAGTCAGCACCTCTGAGACCGACCCTGAGACAGAACAGACAGGCCCTAGTGCCCCCGTTGATGAGGACAGCAGGAACTCCAGCCCCATGAGCCCTGGGAACATGGAAGAGACAACCCAGAGAGGCGGCACCTCAACAACCCAAGATCGTGGGGAAACTTCACAGGCTGCCTGGCCTCCTCTGCCCCCAGAGGCAGGGGAACGCAGGAGGAGGCGGGCACGCTTGGAGCTCCTCGAGAGGAGGCGGCGCACATGCCTTGCTGCCCAGCAACTACCAGATCAAGAGGAACACCTGGAGTTAATGGACAGTGCTCTCGCAAGCACTGAGAACCAGCTGTGAGCTGCTGATAAAGGACGGGGTTTCAGAGGATGAAGGCGTGGGAGCAATTTCCTGGAAACTCGCACCCACAGCACCTGGACCTGTTTCTGGCTGCTATTCCTGAACCTTTGGCTTTGACCCCGGACCTGCTTGACACGCCTCTTGGACCCGCTTGAACTCTGTTTCTTGGACCCTCGGCTGGTTTCCCTTGTGTATGACTCTTGGACTGAACTCTTGACTTATACTTCTGGTTAGTGATTCTGTCTCGTCCCCTTGGTCTTGGCTGAGTCTGCTCTGACCCCGGACAATACATATATACAGCAGCCTCCCACAAAAACCCTTTGAAGACTTTTAAAATCAAAATTTGAGTCTGCTATTCAAAGAACAAAAAGAGTTCAAAAATCCCTTTTGAAGTGCTAAGACTTTTGACTCACCTGGAGTAGCTCTCTGGGGATCAGTCATTATGATTAGTATTTTTTGGAAACTGTGGAATCTGTGATATTTAAGTTGAGTTTCTTCAATTAAATGGAAGCATCGCATTCAAACAGCTTGAATTTAATATATTAAGAATAACAATGATGTAGGCATAAACCTGTGAATTAGTAACCGTTTAAACATCTGTTTTGTGCTTGGCTCTTGTCATGAAATGTCTCAAGCAAACGTAATTCTTCTGAAGAAAATCTGACAGCAATTGTTTTTTCAGTTTTAGAGAATACAGAAGTGATATAAAAATCTATCTGAATTTAAGGGCTCAGAAGAAAAATAAATTCAGGAATGTTGTTGACTCAGTATCAAACAAATCAGAATTTTGTATGAGAAAGACAAGGCATATGGTATTTGTGGAAACAAAGCCAGACATATGTGAGATAGAAGAAATTTCACCACAAACTTGTTCCCTGCCTCCAAAGCAGAAATATCTTTCCAAGAATCATTCCAAATGTGCTTCTTTGTTTCCTATATCACCATATATACGGATCAAACAGTTTCAATTAAAAAATATCCTTACCAGCTCTGAACAAGTTGAACTGAAGGTGTTTTCAGAAGATTGTCTGGAAGCAGGCTTATTTCTTTCATTATGTTTGCCAATCGTACGGGCAGCTCTTGCCTTAGAAACATAAATGACGTTTTCTCACAAGCATTGTCAGATCCTAAGGGGGGGAAATAAAAAACAGTTACTGGGACAAGAGAAATCATCCCTTGGGAAAGGCTGAAATTCAACAGCAGCGCACACAATTTGCATACAGAAGTAATAGATTCAATCCCTGACATCTCTCCCTAAAGGATCTCTAGTAGCAAGAGTGAGGGAAATCATTTCTCCAACTGGAAAGTTGCTGCCAGTCAGAGTAAACACCTGTGGTAAGTACAAGGAACGCTCATAGGTTCAACGAATTGGTCAGT